TCCTTCCTCTTTCTCATCTTCCCTCCCTCCTTCCTTCCTTCCTTCCTCTTTCTCATCTTCTTTCCTTTCTCATCTTCCTTCCTTTCTCTTTCTCATCTTCCTTCCCTCCTTCCTTCCTCTCTCATCTTCCTTCCCTCCTTCCTTCCTTCCTTCCTTCCTTTCTCTCTTCTCCATTTTCCTTCCTTCCTCTTTCTCATCTTACTTCCTCCCTTCTTTCCTCATCTTCCTTCCTCTTTCTCATCTTCCTTCCTTCCTTCTTAATCTTCCTTCCTTTTTCTCATCTTCCTTCGTCCCTCCCTCCTTCCCACCTAGCCGTGACCTGGGCTCCTATACCTCTGTGTATACTGTATAATGATATACTATATGAACAAATATTACAGTAAATAGTGACATGGATGAAGTTATTTATTTAAAGTCCATCTATTTCTAATCCTATGTGATCATATCTGGAGTTGGGTTTTTTTGGGGGCAGGCAATGTATTCTCTCACTATGAAAATGTATATTATGCTCTTGTTCTGCTCTGCTTGGGTGGACTAAAGCGTAATCTTCCTTTTTTCTGGTTTCATGTTTGAAGAAAACATATGCAGTGCCTTTGACTTTTCTGAAATGAGATGCAAATGGTGACATAAGTTCTGATTTCTACCTATTAATGACATTACTTAAATTCAAGGTATAGCTTCTATTAATAAGCCACACCCAGCAATTATGTACAATGCAACAAAAGCTTAATAACTTTAAGGAAGTTGAACGAACACTCCCTTGTGTTTTTACTTTCCCTTTTATTTTTTTCTTTGACCAACAACAAGCTTTAGTTGAAGAGCCTGTTGGTTATAACCTCCCTGCCTTCTTGTCTCCTCGTGGACTTTGTACCTTTAGGTCCACAGCCTTGTGTGACTGAATTTTACTTTAGATTTTACAGTGGTATTCCTTTTTGGCGTTTTCCTATTTCAGAGTAGTAATTGGTCTTGGAGTCTGCCTCAAGAAGATCTGTTACTCCTATTTGCTGTATTCAAGATTTTATTTCACGCAGCTGTGCCTTGAAGTTCTTTACATCCCTAGCTAGCATCAGGGCACATTGGCATATGCTAAATAAACAGGGCACATAAGATATTATTTTCACAGTTGCTATATTGCATTGATGATGTGTTAATATCTCTAAAGGCCCATTTACTTAACAGATGTTGAAAGTTTAATTACTCAATGTTGGTAGAATTGGGCAGATGAGGGAAATGAAACTGCGCGTTAAATACTTAAGGTTTTACATTCGTTTAGCACAGTTTATGTATGCTCACGAAGGCATGCACCTTTTAATAATAATTTGTTCATTGCAAAAGATGTTACCAGACGCTTTTATGTCTGCGGAAGTAAGAAATTAGCGTTGGTCAATCAACATTACAAGGTTTCCTCATTTACTCCTTTCAAGACTACGTTTAGTGAAGTGAAATTCCAAAAATATCAAATAATTTCCCAGTTTCATTATTATTAAATTTACATGCCACGTATCAGGGGATATTCCGATGAGACCCACCAAATGTCTAGTATTTTTCTATTTTTCCGTCCATAAATTAACAGAACGACTCAACTCAACTTAATAAATTCTCCTTACTTTGTTTATAAGAAAGACGCCTTTTTAAGGTTTAAGGTTTATTATATGAGCAAAATGCAGATAGTGCCAATATTGGTACAATGTTGGCACGTCCCGTGAGTCATGGCTATTCCAGCTAGCGGGGCTGGCCTGAGGGGTATTTTAGATTGGATTTTAAATTTGATTTTATATTGGGTGTTAACAAAATTTTAAATGAAACGGCAAAATTAATATTTCTTTTAATTATATTTTTAAAACGGTGTTTGTAGGGTTTTTATCTGTTTTTAGCTTGCTGTAAGCCGCCCTGGGTCCGTCAGGAGAAGGGCGGGGTATAAATCTAATAAAATCAAAATCAAAATCAAATAACTCAAGGATTACCTGTACTTGTAGTGTTGTAGCTTCACCCTTGAATGTTTAACCTCTTTGTCTTTTGCTCCTTCCCCTTTTTGTTCCAAACCAGTACTACCTCTGCGTTGCTATGCTCACAAAGCAGAGATTACAGATGAAGAACTTGATGCTCGCTGGGTGATGTTCTTCAACAAACCAGATATTGATGACTGGGAACTCAGGAAAGGTAAACACCCACAGGAAGTATCAGTGAGGGGGGGGCTTCTGTGTTCCTGCATTAGAGAAATTATATTTTCTAAAAATTTGATTGATTTGTGCAACCCAATAGGAATTATATAGGTCTCTTTCCTGGAGCTGACAGAATGATCCTAGAGCCAAAATCACAAAGACCTCGAGGTTTCCCCCCCCCCCCCCGTTTCAATAGCTACATTGGTACAGCAAAAACTAACTATGATATATTATGATTAACAATGTTAGACTTTGAGATTGAAGTAAAAGTTAGGGAATTAAGATTTTAGCCTGAAATTATGCCTTAGATTTTGTACGAATAGAATAGAATAGAATAGAAATAATAGAAATAGAAATAATCGAAATAGAAATAATAGAAATGGAAATAATAGAAATAGAATAACTGGAAGGGACCCTGGGGGTCTTCTAGTCCAGCCCCCTGCTCAAGCAGGAGAACCTATACCATCTCTGATTGTCTAATCTTTTCTTAAAAATTTCCAGTGATGGAGCACCCATGATTTCTGGTGGCAAGCTGTTCCACTGATTGATTGTCTTCACTGTCAGGAAGTTTCTCCTTAATTCCAGGTTGCTTCTCTCCTTGATCAGTTTCCAACTATTGTTTCCCGTCCTTCCCTCTAGTGCTTTGGTGAACAACCTGGCCCCCTCTGCCTTGTGGCAGCCCCTCAAATACTGGAATGCTGCTATCATGTCTCCCCTATTTCTTCTTTTCTTTAGACTAGCCAAACCCAAGTCCCGCAGCCGTTCTTCATATGTTTTAGCCTCCAGGCCTTTGATCGTCTTAGTTGCTCTTCTCCGAATTTTTTCCAAACTCTCAACATCTTTTTTTGTGATATGGTGACCAATATTGGCTGCAGTATGTGGATATAAACAGAGTTACTATACGTTATATACTCTATGGCAAAATCCGAGAGGTTTGAATAGAGACCCAAAGGGAGAAAAGAATTCAGTTTTATGTCGCGAAGTGGTTAAATACATCACAAACACGAGAAGGGGAGAATAAATGCAGCCCTCTCCTTCAATGCATGTTTCTTTTGATAGGTATTAACACCTTAGTCGACGCAGACATGGTTCCTGAACCAAAAATTATTGATGCGGCTTTGAGGGCCTGCAGGCGGCTAAATGACTTCGCTACCACAATCCGCATCTTGGAAATGGTAAAGGTGAGTTAAGGCATCCTTCTGCTTCTCTACAATATAGAGCACGGTGGTAAAATGTTCCCTTACACACGTCGGTTGCATTCACTACCAAATCTCTGAGATTCTTCCCCCCACTTCCCCTCCATCTTTATATGGGAAAGGCTTAATGTGACACTTGTAATGAAGCATTCACCACAAGCAGGAAGGACCTTGAGTGGGAGAGGGAGAGGAATCAAGACAGGAACCAGTGGCCTAGTAGGCCAGATTGTTTAAATTCACTGACCTTATCTCAGAGATAGCATAGGTAGCATGCTGGCTTAGTATGCGGGGATAAAGTGTCTACTACATGTTGCAGAGTGGCTCCTCCTAATTCATTGACAGTCATCCAGTACCAAGGGAGCCAGTTTGGTCTAGTGGTCAAGGCACCAGGCTAAAAACCAGGAGATGGTGAGTTCTAGTCCCACCTTAGGCATGAAAGCTAGCTAGGTGACCTTGGGCCGGTCACTTTCAGACCAACTCATCTCACAAGATTGTTACCTTGAGTTATCTATAAAAATAAATTAAAAATATCAATTTAAAGGGGAATTCAAGACGCTGAACTTAATAAGCATATGCTTCACCTATGTAATATAGCTTCTCTGGACACGAACTTTTCAGAAATAAGGTCAGCGGTCAGAAATAACTAATCAAATAAGTTCAGTGAAACCACATATGAGTGACTATAACTGCAGCTTTCTAGCAGTCAAAATATCTGTTGCTTGTGAGTTATGCATATTTCTTGGATAAAATTCGGACCATAGAAAGGTTAAGCTTTCTACTTAAGCTTGGGCTTAAGTTGACCCATCTTGTCTTGCCAAATCTACTTTTTAAATTCTGAATTTCTTTTGTGTTCTCTTTGAATTAGTACAAAGCAGGCAAATACAAGGAGATATATCCTTACGTTATCCAGGAACTTAGACCAACTTTGAATGAATTGGGAATTTCAACTCCAGAAGAACTTGAAATGGACAAAGCGTAAACTTAAATGTAAGAAAATACATTTTTGCCTTGTGCGCGTGTTCTTTACTATTCTGTTTGGCGTTTAAAGTAAACAAAGGCTTCTAAAAATGTAGAAAATACATTTGTCTACCATTTTGATAAGGTAGAGAAAAATATTGCTGTCCCTATGCAGAAAATGTGGGGCACGTGGTATATTCTCAAAACTGGAATCCAATTTTCTGTAGAATACTTGGGCTCTAATACCTCTGAGATTTAAAGTATATTAAAAATGAAAATATACCTCAGTCGTCTTGTACTTCTTCACTTTACTTTTGGGGGGGAGGCACTAGTTTAAAATGCAGCAGACATCCCTCAAATTCAAAAAAATTAAGCTCTGTATTTCTCTACAGAATTTGGATGTAATCCTGCTATCTTAAATAGCCATTTGCTCTTATTCATCATTTATTTCCCCTGATACACAGAGACACACCCACAGAGACAGAGAGCATGGTAGTGAAAGCATTTTGCCAACAAGGCAAAAATTAGAGAAATTGGCACAAGCAAATTTATGCTAAAATAAAAGAGTTTTATGGAACCTGCATGCATATTGGAAGCTCATGTAGTGGAGAGGCAGAGAAAAAAGTCCCATGTTACAGGACAAGAGCAGACCATGGGTCTCTTAACTTCTTATTGGTTGTGATTGCACGTGTGGTGTTTTGAGGATACATTGCAGGCACTCTCACAGAATGGATTGGGGCTTCCCCCTTCATAAAATGGCTGCGATGTCAAGGTAACCACATATTTGCAAAGCCCCAGGCACTTCGAATGCTACGCCGTCCGTTCTGTCTCTCTTCCTCCCTCCCTCTCCTGCCTACAATCTCTACTTGTCTGAGTTTTTCTCAGATCTGTTTTTTAAAATGTAAAAAGAGCCTGGAGCCTGATGGAAATTAGGAGAGGTGTTTTTGTATACAAGTAGCAGCCCGGGTGTTATGCCAAGCATCCGAAGGGTAGACGAAGGTTAAAAACAAAGACAAATAGGCTGAAAAATAGTTTTTATCCCAGAGCTGTAACCATATTAAATACTACTGTATAGTGCAACATTGAAGTGCAATATTAGGGGCAGCGCAATGGTGAATAGAATGGGAAGGATGTGTGTATATAATGTATGTTTTTACTTGTGGTTTTTACTTGTGTATAGTGTGCACTGTGGACAGCACTTAATTTCGTTGTGTGATACACGATGACAATAAAGATTATTCTATTTGCAATTAAATGCTACAAGTAATTCCTTAAATTGCTGTATGCAGGCATGTATTCATCTGCAAGCTAATATTGCAATATCTTTTCTTAACCTTTCTATCCACTCCCTCCTCAAGAGGTTTGTGAACTTGAAAAGAATACATCCAAATTAATTCCAGTTCTCTGTTTTTTTTCCAGACGGACTTCCCATGAATATACTGTTAAGGTTCTGTGACTGTACAACAATTATCTGGATATAGACATTATAATTACTTATTTGAAATCACTTCTTCCTTTTATTGAGTCCTGGATATGTATTGTGAAGTTGACCTAATAAAGAGGAAATGGTTTGAATTGACTTTAGACCTTAGCCTATGGTTATAGATTACAAAAAAAAAATGTATTTTCCAAGGCAAGATTGAGCAAACATGGGATGCTATTCAGACATTGAATTCCATACATTTCTGCACAAAAAGCAGTTCTTCACATTTCAAAAAATGAAAGAATCCAGCATTTTAACATGATGAAATTACAATTTCATAAGTATTCGTATTAAGAACAGCATAGAATCATATTGGTTTCATGGAATATAAATTGGACAAGAAGCTTGATTGACTTTAGCCGCTTACACAAATCTTAGCATTTATTACATAAAAAGAAAACTCTCAAGTCTCCACATTAAGCAACGTAATGTGTCAGTTAGACCACTTAAAAACAGACAAGTTCCTAGTCCTAATAGTTTTATTTAGAAGCTTTTGAAAATATGTGGTAGTGCTTGATGAAATCTGTTAACTTGCTGGCTGAAATTTCCATTGATCCAATGACTTTTTCTTGTATCACTGAATACATACTGAAGCGGAGACTTACATAAAATAAGAATAGTGGTGAATCTGAACATATTGTGATAGGATAAACACACGGATGCATTACACGTTGACGTGAAACAATTGTATCCCTGTGGTCCATGAAGGATGAGCAAGGCAGCTTAGGAAAAGCAAGTGCATATGTTATGAATACAGTTAGCTACTCTTTATATAATGGCTAAGAATTGCTCCGTCTCCAGAGAGGCAATTGCAGCCTCTGATCTATCACTTAAACGGGTTAATCGAATCCCTTGCCTCAGTATTTATTTATTAAATTTACTAGCTGTACCCGGCCACGCGTTGCTGTGGCTCAGTCTGGTTAAATGGAAAAGAAAGAAAAGAGAAAGCGCACGTTTCTAATATGTTTAATTTCACAATGCTTGTGGGTATACAATATTTTTTGTTGTTCCATTGTCTGTGCATCAATTCCAACGCAATTGCACACGAAATAAATCAAAATGAAAATAAATCGAAATCTATGAAAATTCAATTTAACAATGCAATCGGAAACATTGAAATGGAATCGTAAAATTGGAAATTTGGAAATCGTAAATGGATCGTAAATCGGAAACATTGAAATGGAATGGTAAAATCTTAGCGTGTGTTGCTTTTACGTCCAACAGATGGCGCTGTTTTTCAAAAAAAGCATGTTTTGACCTGTCACAGGTGTGACATCTATATAATATAGGTATATAAAAACACACGCGTATTCGAATGCAAGGTTGAGTCAAAATTTCAAAGCAATCGGTGAAGAACTTTCGGAGATTTAAGATTTTGAACAAACGAACATCTACATTTTTATTTTTATATATATAATAAGATAAAGATATGCCACCCATCTCATCATCATCATCAAGCAATGTTAGGTAATTTACAACGAGATAAAAACCACAACATAAAACATTAAAAGGACAAAATGCAAACATTTCCCAAAAATAACTAAGGAAGATAGCAGCATGATGGGAGTTGTAGTGCAAGACCTCTGAAACGGGCTGGAGAAAAATACTTTTCACACAAATGAGATAAAATTGCCACTTTTTTTCTGTTTGTCGGTTTAACAAAATTCCTGGAGGCAGCAACGCTTCAACTGGAGGGCTCTGGTGACAGATACCACGGAGCGCGAGACCGCCAGCATCCTAGAGCGCCCCTTCGCTCTGCTCTTCCAAAAAAACAAACAAAAAAAAAAACAAAAACCCCAGGGGCCGCCTCCCATTGGTCGGCTCTCGCTCCGCTAACCCCGCCCGTAGGCGTTGCTCGCGCGCGAGAGAGCAAAGGCGGGGCCCTACAGACCGACCAATCCGGCAGAGCGTCGGATGCTAATTTCGGAAGGGGAAACCTCGCCGTCGCGTTTCCTATTGGCTGAGAGGCGCGATGACGGGCGGAGAAGGCGCGGCTTGGAGGGGCGGGGGGGCACTCTCCGGGCAAGAAGCGGCGATGGCGACGGGAGATGGAGGCGAGGAGGAGCCGCCGCGGGGAAAGGAGGCCGGGCCGCGCCTTGTGCCCGGCGGCGACCTGGTGAGGCAGGGGCAGCCGCGGGGCTGGGAAAGTCGCGGCCGATGGAAAGCCTCTTCCTGGTCGGCCTGGGGGCTTCTGGGTCGGCCCGAGGAGCTCGGCTGGATCAGGCCTGGGGTGGGGGTGG